AAGATTAAAAAAAATTTTAATTTAAAAATTAAAATAAGTTTTAAAAATTGTATACATATAAAAAATTGTATACATATAAAAATATTTAAAAAAATTTTTTGTGGACGTTAAATATTTTTTCGACTTTTCGTATTCTAAGCTCGAATGCTATTTGTTCACAAATTTTTTTCAGCCGATGTTTTCTATCTCAACTCTGCAACTCGTTTTTAGGCAAAAATATCGTACAATGTCAAAATTCCGGAAAAGAGTTTCCATTCGTATTTCAATATAGTTTCAATCTCGTAATTTTCCCTTTAATCTCTTAGGTAGTACTATGCTTCGAGCGCATTTTCTGGGATCCAACGGCCAATTTGTTCGGCCACGTGGGAAGTACCACCGCATCGCGTGGCGAGCTCTTCCTGTTCTGGAACTTATACAAGGCACCAGTTCTATTGGCCCTCGTCGCTGGTGAAGCAGCTTGCGTAATGGAAAATGTCAGTGACGATGTTATCGTCGGCCGTTGCATCGCCGTCCTGAAAGTAAGTGGATGAAATTTCTAGTCAAAGTGCGCAGAGAGGGTGAGGAGGATGGATAGTCTTACTTAGATTAAGTATAGAAACGTATTTTATAATAATAATTATCATCTTACATACTTCATATCATCTTACATATCTTCGTTATGTTTTATCGAAAAAAAAAAGAAAAAAGATAGAAGAGGTTGAAGAAAAACTTTATTCTCATAGGGCATTTTTGGAAACCAAGTGGTACCGCAACCGCGTGAAAGCGTCGTGACGAGGTGGCGGGCGGATCCTTGGGCACGAGGTTCTTACAGTTTCGTCGCGGTCGGCAGTTCCGGCAGCGATTACGATCTTCTAGCAGCACCCGTCTCACCTCCGCACTTAGTTAATCAACCCCCACCGCAGCCGAGAGTCTTCTTCGCAGGTAAATATTAATTCGATACTTTTTATGATATTGCTTATTATCGAGACATAAAATACTTTTTAAGTTCTTCTGCTGAAGAATTATATTTGCGTTTGCCATCTGTTTGCATCCCCGTAAATATATATATATGCATCGCTCACGTTTGCGGCATAGCGATTGATGTGCAATGTAATTTACCTCGCTACGATACTCCATTTCCAACTCGTGTGTGTGGTAATTCCGCGCGTTAACACTGTTTAAAGATTCTACTATTTGCGAAATGTTGTCACGTAAATAAGGTGAATTAGCGTTTGCGGGATTTAACGAAGTGTAATAAATGTCAGAAGAAATTTGTCTATAAACAAGCACGAAAATGTAATGGCGATACAAAATGTAATAAATTCATCTAAGATAAATGTCACATCGTAATAAACTTTTTTCACGAGAGTGCATGTTGACCTATTTACACGACGGGTTTTCAGGGGAGCACACTATACGGAATTATCCAGCCACCGTACATGGCGCATTCCTCAGCGGCCTTCGTGAAGGTGGACGTATAGCCGACCAACTTTGTGGAAGTCCTTATGCGCCACCAACAATGACAGCTTCAGTTCCGCCAACGACGGGGATCACGCCAACAGTAAATACCGGCAGCAGTTCGACGCCTTAATATTTTCGCATCGACTATGTCATTTTTGTCTTTCTGTATGCGAAGAAACTCCGAGGATGGTCATTTACGAAGAAACTCTTCCTTGAGATTCTTCCGGAAAAAAAAAAAAAAATTCTTCGCGATAATCTCAAATCATGCGACAACTTGACGTACTCATTAACTTGCTAATTTCACAACTTATGCGTAATTATTTTCAGTGAATCACTTAACTCAGTGACATTTATGACTTAATTCGATTATGTGAAAAAATGAAAGTATATTAAATGATTTTAAAACGCTCAATTTTTCATAGTATATTATAATTGTGTTAAATATATACACACATATACACGCGCGCGCGCGCGCGCGCGTGTGTGTGTGTGTATATATATATATATATATATGTATATTCATACATACAAATATACAGCTCAAATGTTTTATTTATCATCATCATTATTCATATGCATA